AATTTCTGCTCTAGAATCATTTGGAATAAACCGAATCTATCATTTAATAGCTTTCTGAACATTTGAAATATCACCACCATAGCATATAAATGGGAATAAATGGGAGAACACATGAAAGAAAAGTTTTGAGTCATAATACTCAGGTATCAGAAATCAAGAGGGGAAAATTATTACCTCAAATAAAAACAATATAAATATTCGACAACAGAAAGTGGGTGCCTAACTTATGATCTTTGAAGCTAATGGGATGTTACACATTGATTAGAAACATGGAAACTGCGGCATCATGACAAATGTTATAATGTTAATTGAAAGAAAACAAGCTGTTGCATGTGAACTGAGATTAATGATGAATTACATCTGCATATGAAAAGGAAAGAAATATTCACATGAAATGTAGCTTGTTAGGGTGGTAAGAGCATGGATCATTATTTCGTTTCAAAATATCCTTTAATATTTTATAATTTGGTTTCTATAATAAATGAAAAAATAAAATAAAATGATAGCTATTAGGAAGATCAAGATCCTCATTCTTAGTTTCAAGGACTAAAAGGTCCCCTTTACTTTCTTCTCTAATTATCTTCAGATAGCAACCCTCATAGTAAATAATCAGGTCTTGAAATTCTTGATGGCAAAGCTACAATCGGCAAACAAAGCTTGAAGTGTGACTGCCCACTAGGCAACAGCATGGAATGGAAGGGAGAAGTCGGAGATCAAACAAGGAAAAGAAGGGACAATCAAAAAAGAGAGTTCCAACTTAAACCATGTTCATAATCATCCAGTGCTACCATTTTTGTTCTATCTCTACATGAACAGAAAACTCATAAATTTCCGTATCATATGGTCAGGGCAATATGGGGGTCAAAACCCCAAGATAATGGTTAAGACCTGGGTACTTAAAGAAGAAATGGTCATGTTCCCAAGTTAACACAAAAGTCCCTATTTTAGGAATTTAAAGTTTCAAGCTCTGGTCACAATATTTTGCAACAGCAGTATTCGTTAAATTCATAATCACTCATTTCTCCCCCCAAATTCCACCCATTTATTTTATAAGCACTGATTAAGTCCTTGAACAAAACAGTCACAATGAGTTGTTTTTTTAAGTATTCCTTGTTATGAAACCCAATATTTTGCAAATCACTGGCCTGTGCTGAATAATGACAGACAAAGCACTAGTAAATAAAAACAATGATCACATTATTTTGGTTCCTGTGTGCTGTTTATTTACAATGACACAGCATCGCCTTGTTTCTGAAGAGAATGGCTGATATACTCTGGCTGCTCAAACATTAACTACTGGTGAAATGAATCACATATGCAGCTGAGAATTCACTCTAGAAAAACAGAGAGAGGTCCTGGCTAGGTAGCTAAGTTGGTTAGAGTATCCTCCTGATAAGCCAAGGGCACATACAAGAAGCAAATGATGCATGCATAAATAAGTGCAACAACAAATTGATGTGTGTGTGTCGTCCCCCCCTCCCCCGTCTTTCTCTCTAAAATCAAATAGGGAGAGAAATACTTGTGCTTGTAAGTTAGGAAGAAGCTCTAGTGTTTGTGTTCACATTTATAGCGAGACAAGGTGAAATCTTGTCTACTTTCTTGTCAACTGATCTACTTTCTGTTTCCTTCCCTTCCCCTTCCCTTTCCTTTCCTTCTTTTATTTTTGTTAATCCTCACCTGAGGATATTTTTTGCATTGATTTTTTTTTTTAGAGAGAGTGGGAGAAAGGGAGGGAGGGAAAGAGAGAAAAACATCAATGTGAGAGAGATACAATGATTGGTTGCCTCTGGCACATGCCCCATTAGGGGCAGGGGATCCAACCTGCAACTCAGGTATGTGTCCTCAACAGGGAATCGAACCCGAGACTCTTCAGTACAGGGGCTGACGCTCTAACCACTGAGCCACATCAGCCAGGCCTCTAGTGATCTGCTTTCAAAATAAACTTCCTTTTGTCCATTCCCAGAGAATATTTTTATTAATAACTTGGCAAAAGTCTAAAAAAGTATGCTTATCAAATCTTTCTAACTTCTTTCTGTCACCAGAATAATTCCCAACTGCCTTTACAGCTGAGACACAAGGGTGAGGAGGTAAAGCCTTGTTCTTAAGGACCTTATAGTCTTATGGAGGGAAAGGTTTGCAATTACAATTAAAAACCAGCCAACACATAATCATCACTAACAGAATCAGGATTGAAAAATACCCCAGTATTAGTCATAACATGACATCTAAGAGGTTTAGGTACTCAAAATCAATTATATAACCACAAAATACAGAAAGCCTTAGTTGATGGCAGCTTATATAAAAAACATGTAAAGGTTTCAGCTGAGTAAAACTCCATAAAATCATAAAAGTCAACTATGTGAAATGGCTGTTAAAATACTACTCTAAATTAAAAAAAATATTGTGTTCAGGTCAAGGAATGGGCACACACACACATTCATGTTTGCTAGTGGAGCAATGATAGTGAAATATCTGTAAATCACATTATGCAGAATGACTGAATGAACTGAAGGCACGTGGCTTAACACAAGACTTGGAGGTGAGTGGTAGAGGGGGCAGTATAAAACAACTGTTACAAATGCCTCTGAGCTGGTAACAGAGGGCTCAAAAGTGTTCCATGGAAATTTTTAAAAAGGCAAATTTTGTTCCCAATTAGAAGAACTTCCAATGCCTTAGGATTTCCAACACTGAATTACCTTAAACAGCAATAAACTCTATGGCTAGGAGTAGTCAAACAGAGATGAATGACCAACTGTTAAGAAGCAATTCTTACCCTGGGTGGAAATACATAACAGATCTCTAAAGCTCTTCCTTGGAAAAGCTTGTGGCTATCTTGTTAGCTAGCTGCAGGCAAGAACAGCAAGACAACACCCACCACAGCTACTCTAAGAGCATCGGACCATCTCAAAAAGCAGAAAAGATGTCAGAAATCACCACTGACCTTCATTTAAGATCTAAAAGGCTTTGTGACTTTTAGATGATTGTCAGAAGAGATAATGGGAGGGAGACCAATGGTGGCCAACCTACCAGACTATGAGCCAACAGCTGGCTTAATCACTACAAAAGAACCACCACACCCATTCCCACTGATTGCAACAAATGTACTGTGGTCTCAGAGGTTCCAGTTTTTCCTTGTTGCCTTAGGTGAAAGGCAATTTTTAAAGTTCCCTTTCCTCCAATAATCTACCTATTTAATGTTTTTAGTGCGTGCAGAATGCCAAAATTTCAAGAATCTGCAATGTTTTCCTGTATCTGGGGATAGTGTAAACCCAGCAGCGCAGGTACAATCCCTGCATTAACAGGTTCATGAGATTTTTTGGCTCCATATTGAAAAAAGAACATTGGCCTGATCTGGTTGGGTCTATTTGGAAGGGTTTAGAGAGGAAATTCTGCAAACTGGCTCATCACTTTCCTTAGGTCCACTCAAACTTCTAAGTTAGGCTAGATCTAGCATGTTTTTACCTGTGCCTTAAATTTGTGAGACATGTATAAACATGTTTATCCTAAGTGAGTTGTGATCATTATCACCATGAAATTTATGAAACTAGGAACAACACAATAGCCAACTTAAAAGTTTAGTTCAGGGAAGACAAGCCTCAAGATATACATATGTCCTATGCACTCAGTTGCCAATAATTTTAAATCCTATGGCAGATACACTACATATTTAAGGATACCATCAATGAACAAACAGTAATATACTGAGTCTACTGTGAGCAAGAATGCATGTTAGGTTCGATGAAAGACAAATGCCCATCTTCACCTGCTTAGGTTATGACTATGTCTGATTATTGCCATGGTCAGAGTATAAGACAACTTTAACAACTCCAAATGGCTCTTATAGATAATTCTATATATTCTAAGGAAGTAAAACTCAAATTCCTTCAATAGTGCCTTCAACAGTAATACTTGAAATAAAAACCATGTTTCAGTCATTCACATAAAACTGAAACCATAAAGCAGAGGAATGCCTACTAACGTCAAATAATGTCAAATCCTAGCACTGAAGGATTTCATCTGCTGTGAGGTTGTATCCTATAGGTACAACCTCCTTAATGTTGGTAGCATTTGCTAAGTCAAGATACTTTTCTGGAAGCCAGTAAGATATTTCAAAAATTAGAGCTTTTAGGCAATACCAAAAAAATTATAAATTTAATTTTTTTAAATCCTCAAAGGTCATAGGTTATTACAATTATTTAGATAGGTCTTCCAAATTAATGAGAACAATGAATAAAATGACAGTGTTATGGTATTTCAGAATGTATATCTTGTAGCATGCCTTTAAATGGATATATAGTCTCAATATGGTGAAATATAGCTTGCAAATTAGCAACTACTGCTCCTTTCTTTTGGTATACATAAAGAGGTAGAGTCCTGGCCAGCATTGCTCAGTGGTTAGAGAGCAAGGCTGCACACCAGAGGGTTGAGAGTTCGATTCCTGGTCATGAGCACATACCTGGGTTGCAGGTTTGATCCCGCCCCTGGTCAGGGAGAGTGCCCAAGGCAACCGATCGATGTGTCTCTCTCATATTGATGTTTTTCTCTCTTTCCCCCCAACCCCTATTGCTCTAGAAATCAATGGGGAAAATATCCTCACTTCTTGGGTAAGCATTAAGAGAGAGAGAGAGAGAGAGAGAGAGAGAGAGAGAGAGAGAGAGAGAGAGAGAGAGAGAGAGAGAGAGAGAGAGAGAGAGATGGAAAGAGAATGAATAAACTACCAAAAAGCCAAACCCCATACCATGTGTATTTCAGGTGGGTGAAAGCATTCAAAGGTTGGTTTATAGGTACAGTAACAGCATCACAGGTCACCAATCAACTCAACTGCTCCTCCAGGAGCCAAAGAGCAAGTAGCTTTTTAGCTGACTATGTTTATTTACCTATCTAGCATGCAGAGATTATCTAGGGTCTGGTGAAAGAGTAAAGTAGTCAAGAAAATGTGCATATTTTAGGGCTTCCAGTAAGCTATATGTTAGTAAATGGAGAAAATAGGCTTGACTTACCTGCACTGCCAAGCTGTTTATAAAACCTGTACTCTAAATGAAGCTGTGGAGCACGTGATTTTATTGGTTCCTAAAACCCAAAAAGAAATATAATAATCAGATTCAGACAAATAGAACTTTTCTATTCCTGGGTTTTCAGCATAAACCAGAGCTAAGACCACTTAATATTTATTTACTGTTTTTCCCCCTTTTTTGACTTTAAATAATTTTTTATTTTTCAATTACAGTTCACATACAATATTATATTAGTTTCTGGTATACAACCCAGTGATTAGACACTATGTAACTTCTTAAGTGATCATCCCGATAAATTTTGTACCCATCTGACACCATACACAGTTATTACAATATTACTGACTGTACTATATTTCCTATGCTGTGCTATAATCCTGGTGTCTATTCTGTAATTACAAATTTGTATTTCTTAATCCCTTCACCTTTTTCGTCCATAAGATCACTTAATATTTTAGAGATGATATCCATATATGATAGCATTTTCTTTTCTTCTTTTTTTTTTTGTTACTCCCCACTTGAGGCTATTTTTTCCATTACTTTTCAGAGAGAGAGGAAGTGGGGTGGAGAGAGAGACAAAGAAAGAGAGAGAGAGAGAGGAGCATCGATATGAGAGAGATACATGGACCTGGGACTGGGATCGAACCTGCAACCTAGGTATGTGCCCTTGACCAAAAATTGAACCCTCAACCCTGCAGTGCGTGGGTTGATGCTCTAACCACTGAGCAACACCAGTCAGGGCTGATAGCATTTTCTTACCACAATTTCTCTCTGAAATCACAGTTGGGGGAAGACGAAACTGAATTACATACAATCCTTTCCATAGATATTTAAATAAAAATACTCTGTATGAGCCATCATTCAAGGATAGCTCCTCTTCATCCTAAAGTGTTCTCCTGAAATGCATTATCCTAGGAAAACGGATGCCAAACCTTTTAATTAACTACCAGCATGTATTTCCTGCTTGTTTTATTACGAATTTGGGGTAATAAAGTTTTATTACTTTTAGAAAAATGATATATGCTCAGGAAGAAAATTTCAAAAACACAAAAATTAGGAAGAAACTAACAATAATCTGAGTTCCTATCATTTTACAGAGAAGCACTATTAACATTTTGATGAATGTCCTTCCAAAAATACATATTTATATATACATATATATGTGTATATATATACAAATAGAGTAAAAAACATATTTTAAATAAATGAAATCATGCTCTATTTCCTGTTCTGTAATGTCATTAAATTCAACAAAGTGAGAATGACATCTTGCCATGGCAGTAAGTAGAGCTGTATATTATTATTATTTTTTAATCCTCACCCAAGGATATGTTTTTATTGATTTGAAAGAGAGAGGAAGGGAGAGAGGGAGGGAAGGAGAGAGGGGGAGAGAGAGGGAGAGGGAGAGGGAGAGGGAGAGGGGAAGAGAGAGAGAATCAGTAGGTTGCCTCCCGTACACACCCTGAATGGGGATCGAACCCACAGCCTAGGTATGTGCCCTGACCAGGAATCGAAGCTGAAACTCTTTGTTGCACAGGATGACACTCCAACCAACTGAGCCACCTGGCCAGGGCTGTGTATTCTTTTTAATGGCTATAGTACTCCTCTGTATGTAGGTATGTACACACACAATAATTTTTGGACACTTGGATTGCTTACAGTTTTTAATGTTATGAATAATGCTGTAGGAAAATTTTTATATATATTTAGTTTTACATTTAAGATAATTAGATCATAAATGCAATTAAAATATGTAACTTTAATCAATGTTCAATTTTTCAAAAATAGTTTTCTAAAGACCCCAGAGATAAAGTAGCTGAACTACCACTCTTTGTTCTATACCAAACTTCAAGAATTGGCTGGTTAATTATTCTGAATTGACAGTGTAGCAGGCAACTAGGTAACAAGAAAATCAAACTTTACCCTACAAGATACATCTGCATACTCATTGGGATAGTTATTATCAAAACCACAGAAAATAACGAGTAGTGGCGAAAATATAGAGAAACTGGAATCCTTGTGAATTGTTGTAAAATGGTGCATCTACTGTGGAAAACAGTATGGCAATTTCTCAAAAACAAAACAAAACCCATGGTATTACCATATGATAAAGCAATCCCACTTCTGTATATTTACACACAAAAATCAGGACTCAAACTGATTTTTGTACACCCATGTTCATAGTGGCATTATCCCCAATAGTCAAAAGGTGGAAGCAACTTGGGTATCAACTGAATGGATAAACAAAATGTGGGTATGTTTTGTTTCATACGTAAGATTGAATATTATTCAGCCATAACAAGGACATTCTGACACATGCTACTACATGAATGAACCTTGAGGACATTATGCTAAATGAAATAAGCCGGTCACAAAAGGACAAATACTGCATTGTTCCACTTATAGAGTAGTCAAATTCATAGAGACAGAAAGTTGAATAGTGGTTGCCAGGGGCTGGGGACAGACGGAAATGGGGAGTTAGTGTTTAATGGGTACAGGATTTCAGTTGAGGAAGATAAAAATGTTCCAGAGATGGATGCTCAACAATGTGAATATACTTAATACTACTGAATTGTACACTTAAAAATTAAATTCTACATATCAATTCCTTATCAGATACATGATTTTCAAATATTTTCTCCCATTTCCTGGGCTGCCTTTTCACTCTGTTCAGATTCCTTTGATACATAAAAAATTTTAATTTTGATAAAGTCCAACTTATCTATCTTTTCTTGCTTGTGCTTTTAGTGTCACATCCAAGAAATCACTGCCAAATCCAATGTCATGAAGTTTCCCCCTAAGTTTTCTTCTAGGAGGTTTATAGTTTTAACTCTTCTGTTTAGGTCTTTGATTTTGAGTTAATTTTTGTATATGGTGCAAGGTAAGGGTCCAACTTCACTGCATATGGATATCCAGTTTTCCCAACACCATTTGTTGAAAAAACTGTCCTTTCCCCATTAAATGGTTACTTATCTAATTTTAAAGATAAAATCAAAGGAAGGAGATTCCACTGCTTCCCTTGATAATTCATGCTGGTGTTTAACAAGTTTCATGGTAGGGAAGGTCTTTATATGTGATTGAAATCTCCACTATTGAAATGTAAGTTTACTTCTATAATGTCCTCAATAACAGGTAAAATAGCTCTGCAGTAACCTGTGAACACTATAATAGCAATTTCCAAATAACAAAACTATTCAATCACTTCTTAGACTTCCTTTATTCAGGCAAAATAATTTCAATTCCTTTAACTTCTCTCATTGATCCTGTATTTTAGCTCTTGATCACCTTTGAAGGCTCTTTCTGAACCCACTTGAAGTTTTCTGCATTCTTAAGATACAGAATCTATAAGACACAGAATTAAGAAGTGTCCTTGAAGTCTATCCCTTTGCTTCTTGGAAAGTTTTATCTAAATCAATTCATGCCGACTGGAATACAGTACGTCCTCACTTAATGTTGTCGACAGGTTCTTGGAACTGCAGCAAAACAACGTATAACGAAACCAATTTTATCACAGGCTGATATAAATAAGAGTTAAGTTCCTAGGGCAACTCATCAACGTTATAATGAAATGATGTTGAACAAAATGTTACTCAAGGACCTGCTGTATCATGTCTCTAAGAAACTCTAAAGAACTCATACCCTTCTTTGATCATAAAATCAGCAATCATTATAATTGGACTTCAAGTTTCTCAAGATTCTTGTAGTCAAAAGAAAATTACATAATATTAATTATACTGTAGAGTAACTTTCTTAATTCATTTAGCTCTTCAGAGAGGGATCACTCTAGAGTCTCCATTTGGTTAAGATCTCCCACTATATCACCATCAAAGCAGGCAATTATAGAATTTGTCCATGAGCAAAATTACTAATAATTCACAAGGACCAAATAGAAACAGTAATGATAAATTAACATGGAACCAGACAGAGGTTGATCTAAACACTAAAAAGAGGAGTGCTCTTTCTGAAGAAATAGTCTTTGGATTCGGACAAACCACAAGGGGCAGGCAACAGATCGTTCTTCAAACACAATACTCTCAAAACTTTATACTGGAAATCTTTATAAGAAATATTCAATCTGATCTTGGGTAACTAAGTTAGCAGATAAGAAAAGAAAAACTTTAGAGTTATATGGCTGAAACTGCGCATACGCATCACGTATGTTAAAAAATGAGGGGCTTTTATTGCAAACGGAAGGACTTACATCCTTCAGCCAACCCCTTCAGCACATAGTTGTAGCCTGCTCAGCCAATTGGAGCTTCAAGGGGCTCTTCTGGAAGCACTATGAATAAAGGACATTGGAAACAATCAGTCTATAGCTTGTGGAAGGCAGCAAGATTAGCAGTGAGGAGAGACTTTTTTTTTTTAATAATTGTTTAAAAACCTCTGTTAAAAGGAACCTTAGGAATCTCAATGGGGGTGAAGAAGGGACTCATTACACTATTTTGTTTACATTGTATATGATTTTTTAAAAAGATTCCTAGATATCCAAGAAACAAGAGCCCCACAATGAAGATCCAAACAAAGTAGAACTGAAACAGTACCAGCAGGGCTTCCTTGTATTTCTGTGCCAGATGCCGATTACATTTCCATAGAGGGCAGGCTATTTGCCAGAATCACGGTTATTCTGGAACACACATGCCTACCTGAAATCCTAAACCGACAGCAGACGGCTACCTTGTACGACTGTAATGCTTAAGGCCAATTTTGCTGTCACAATGAAAAGAGCTCAATTACCGGCTTTATATCTCCCATGAAGAATACAGACCAAGAGCAAGAAAGGAGGCCCATAGACAAGATTGTTATCCTCTAAAAAGCCTTATTTAAGATTTATCTGAAAGAGAAATGAGGTACTAAGACACACCATACTAGATGACATAAAGTCTATTTTCAGCTTTAACTCTTGGCCATAAAAAAGCATAAAAATTTACTAAAATTTAAAAGTGTAATGCAATTGTCAGTCATGTCAACAATACGTTATGCAAGTTTATCTAAATAGGTTGACTAGCATGAACCTGGAAGGAGAAATGTAGATAGAAAGAACTGCCCCTAAAAGAAAGCCTCAAAAGAAGTCTTGATAAATAAAGGGATAATAACAAATATACAGTCTTGAGGCAATATTTTAAAGTATTCTAGGGGCTGCTTCCTCCTGTTACTAATCCCATAGAATCAAAATTATTACAATTTACCAAAGTAGTAAAACGGAAAAAGTAAAAGAGCAGATGAACTAGAGGACACTTTTACAAGATAACAAAATTTGTATAAATTTTCTAAATGGTTAAACCTTTGATAGTCGATCTGAGAAAATATTTGGTATGCAGTGTTATATTCACTACCTCTCTTCTACCTCATTTATTCAACAAGAGTTCCAAATAAACAAACAAAACACTTGGTTCCCTAGCAGCTACCTGCTCTTAAGCCCTGCTCTCTGTCCACCTCTTTGTAGAGAAACCAATCTAATAACTGTCAGTTTTTCACAAGAGAACTCTTAACTCCTCCACAAACTGACAAACTGAATGAGAAGAAGGGAACAACCACAGAGCAGGTGTGGATGTAATAAGTGCAGTTCCTTAGAAAAGAAAAGCATTCAACCATCACAAGATGTGTTCTTCAACCACTAACTCCTCTGTCTTCCAACTAATAAAGCCCAAAACTACCTGAAAATCCTGGGAAACTTACTAGGATTTAGTAGGGGGATGAACATTTATACAAGTTTCATAGAAAACAGTCATATGAAACATTTCATATAACTAGAAATGGTTTTGTATCAACCTTAAACATAAGGTAAAGAATTGTTTGTTCTAAAATTGTTAATCCTTAAAATCATATAACTATTCTTTTTTAATAGGATGCTATTTTCAATGACTAGTTATTCATAAGATCAGGAGTGACAAAACCAATTAAACTCTTTGCTTCAAATGTGACCACATGATGTGTTTTTCATGTTTGGTAGATTTTTTAAGACAATGATTAGATGATCAAATTTGTTTCTGTACTAAGTATATTAATAAATACCTTACATTTTAAAAATGAATCAGTCAAAAAAATAAAATTTTCAAATGATTGTATCTTTTTAAAAACATGTTTTTATTGATTTTAGAGCAAAAGGAAGGGAAAGGGAGAGTGGGGGAGAGAGAGATATAGCAAGAGGGAGAGGAACATCGATCAGTTGCCTCCTGCACACACTCCAACTAGGGATCAAACCCACAACCTGGATATATGCCCTGACCCAGAATTGATCTGGAGACCTCTGGTGCACCAGACGATGCTCAGCCATCTGAGCCTCACTGGCCAGGGCAAACGATTTTATCTTTTAAAATAGCACTGTGAAAGGTTCACAAAAACTACAAGTTTTCCCGTGATCTTTTTTCTTCCTTCCAGCTATTTTTTTATTAACTATTTTTTATTCATTATGGCTAAACTATAATATCATCTAATGCCATATAGTGTACAGTGATTCATGACTGTAAAACTCTAGATGAAGGAAAATGACTCTGTGGGATCATATGCAAGAGAAAAAACGTTAGTATTTTTGTAAGTGCTCACAACTATTTCCAGTAAAAAGATACGTGAGGGATGAAAGCACCAAAATATACTTAACACAAATACAGATTTTACTCACCAGTTTGATAGCTACATATTCATTGGTGTAGAGATTTTTACCTAGGGAAAAAGCAAAATGTATATGTTTTAGTAACATTTATTCCAGGAAATACAAAGCAAAATCTTAGCTTACAGGGTCATGAGAAAGGTCACATTCCCAAAGCTGTTTGCATATATGAAACATGATTTATAGAAATGATTAGACCCAGCAAGACAAGAACAAAAACAGCTTGAGAATTTGAAATTTTAAGTTAGACACGAGAAATTTTTTGAATCTCTTTTTCTCTCTCACATATACACATTTTGTTTTTTAATATTTCCCAGCTCTTAAGCTATGAGTCTAACCAAGAAAAAAAAGCCAGAATTTCAAAGACACAGAGATTTTTACTTTTGGGACAATAAGTACAAACCCTTATTTTTCTAACTCACTGACAAGTGGGAATCTTATATTTTTTGTCATGGTATTTAGTGTCAACTTTAGTTGGTATAAAGAACAGTGTGAAATAAAACGAATTACTGTCCTACTCAGATTTTGGAAAACTTATCTACTGTATATAAGGAGGTGATTGTCAAAGCTGTTTTCATTCTTCACCAGAAACACTAGCTCTATGTCTTCCACTATAAGCAGGAAACAGTTCTCCACCTGGACAACACTTAAACATCTCAAAGTTCTTCCTAAAGTAACAATTTTCCCCCCAACTTCTCTACTTGTATAATAAAATCAATTCTCCTAAACATCTGGAGTAAGAACTTGGGAGTGAGGATGAGGATAAGAGCAACAACTACCACTTAGTGAGCCAACATTACATGCTAGGTACTTAACTACCTTCACATCCCCAACTCCATTGATTCTTTTTTTTTTTAATATATCTTTATTGATTTCAGAGAGAGGAAGGGAGAGGGAGAGAGAGAGAGAGATAGAAACATCAATGATGAGAGTCGTCATTGATCAGCTGCCTCCTGCATGCCCCCGACTGGGGATCAAGCCAGCAACTGGGCATGTGCCCTGACCAGGAATCGAACCACAATCTCCTGGATCCTAGGCTCATGCTCAACTGCTGAGCCACACCCAGCCTGGCACCCCCATTGATTCCTGAAGGCTTTAATTCCTCCTGATTGTTTAGTATATACAACATACAGTTTAGCCACTGCACTGGACTTTACATTGCTTCTTATATATTTGTCCTATCTTAGTTAGCTAGACTACAAATATCTTGAGAAACAGAGATTTTTATCTAAGAGTTCCATCAATGTCCTATGGTGCTTAAGCTCATGCTGTGCACATCTCAGACACTCCAAACCTTAAATGATTAAAAGTTACTGGTATGGACATCAAAATTACAACTAAACTACACAATAACCATCATTTGGAACTGCCTAAAATCTAGCTAAATGGAAGCCATACAACTAAGGATATAAAAAAGAAGCCACATCCAGACTGGTAGAAGGGGTGGAGACGCAGAATGGGTTGGTACCATACAAACGTGTGGCGGATAAAAATCAGGAGAAATATCTCGGCTGTGGAGGTCCATCTCTGAGGAGGAAGGGGTCCCAGCCCCACACTAGGTACCCAAGCCCAGGGCTCCAGTGCCAGTAAGAGAAGTCTCTATAACTTCTGGCTATAAAAAGCAACAGGGATTGGCTCTGGCCAGGTAGCTCCAGTTGGTTAGAGCGTTGTCCCCATATGCCAAAGTTCTGGGTTCATTATCCCGTCAGGGCACATACAGGAAACAACTAATGAATGCACAACTAAGTGGAACAACAAATTGATGTCTCTCTCTCTCACCAAACCACCACCACCAAAAAGCAGCGGGGATTATGGCTGAGTGAGACAGAGGGCTGCTAAGAGTTCCAGGCAGTTCTTTAAGGGCCAATGCACAAACTTACTCAGATTCACTTCTGAGCTCCAGTGCTGGGGCAGCAGCTCGAAAGGCTGCAGCGACAAAAGGGGAGGAACTGAATTGTCCAGCATCAGAACAAGAGCTGGAGGGCCAGCATTCTCCCAGACAGAAGTGCTGTAAGGGGCCAGTGTTCCTTTGATGAGCTCTCCTCTCACAGAGCCCATAGGTGGGTGCAATATCTGAGTCTCCATTAATCTGGCTATCACTATTCACCCTACCTTGGTGATTCCAAGACCCAGCCCCACCCAACTTGCAGGCCAACCCAAGCTGTTTCCAGTGGTTTTTCCATATAAATGGCCTGTCTTGGCTCAGGCTTCAGATTTTCCTAAAATCTCACAAACAAGCAGCATCTAGCCTTGGTGGGACCCGTATGTCTTGCTAAGTGACCCCAGGCTCAGCACTAGCAGTAGCCAGCCTTGGTTCACAGCTTGGACTCTCTTGGGCATTTCCAAGCCCAGGACTAGTAGCAGCCATCTGCAGATAGCTCTGTAGCTTCTGCTGGGTGGCTCCAGGCAGGGCACTGGCAGTGGCAGACCGTACAGCTCCCAGGAGTCACCAGAGCCAGTGCACCTGGTAGACAGCTTCAGACCACGCTGAAGCACCAACCAACCACCTCCATAAGTGACACACTTAAGGGGCAAGCTCAGTGGGCACCAGAATCGCTCTGAAGTAAGCCTTGCTCTGTGGGTTGGGACCCTGCACAGCTCATCATCCACTGTGGTCACAGCCAGTCCTTGCAGCCATTCGACCTGGGGTAAAATCCCTCCCATTAACACGCCAACAGCAATCAAGACTCAACTACAACAGGAGGGTAGGTGTACACAGCACAGGACGGAGGACTCAACTGGAGTGCGCAGCTCGGGGAGGCTGTTGTGCCACTGGATCCTAGAGGGCACTCAATACATTAGGCTACTTTACCAAGACCAGGCGATGTAGCAGCTCTACCTAATACACAGAAGCAAACACAGGGAGGCTGCCAAAATGAGAAGACAAAGAAACATGTCCCAAATGAAAGAACAGAACAACATCCAAAGAAAGAAATAAAAAGAATGGGGGCAAGCAATCGACTAGATTCAGAGTTCAAATCACTGGTTATAAGGATACTCAATGAACGTAGGCGAACAGTAGATGAACTGAGAAAGAACTTCAATGGTATAAAAAAAATGGAAACCATAAAAAGAACCAGTCAGAAATAAAGGATACACTAACTTATATAATAATTTACAGGGAATCAATAGTAGAGTAATAGATAAGGCCAAGAATCAAAACAGTGATTTGGAATATAAAGAAGCCAAAAACAGCCAATCAGAATGGCAAAATGAAAAAGGAACCCCTCAAAATGAGGATAGTGTATGGAGTCTCTGGGACAACTTCAAGTATGCCAACATTCACATTATGGTACTGCTGGAAGGAGGAGAGAGCAAATAATTGAAAACCTATTTGAAAAAATGACAGAAAACTTCCCTAACCTGATGAAGGAAATAGACTTACAAGTCTAAGAAGCCCAGAGAGTACCAAACAAGATGAACCCAAAAGGGCCCACACCAAGCCTCATAACTGAAATGCAAAAAGTTTAAGACAAAGAATCTTAAAAGAAGCAAGGAAAAGCCAGTTCGTTACCTACAAGAGAGCTCCCATAAGACTGTCCGCTGCTTTCTCAACAGAAACTTTGCAGGCCAGAAGAAACTGTGAAGAAATATTCAGTGACAAAAAGCAAGAATCTATAACCAAGATTACTAATAAGCAAAGCTATCATTTAGAATTGAAGGACAGATAAAGAGTTTCCCAGACAAAAAGAGTTCATGCCCTCCAAACCAGTATTACATGAAACGTTAAAAGGTCTTCTTGCCTGGCCATCAGTGGCTCAGTGGTTGAGCATCGACCTGGGATCCAGGCGATCGGAGTTCAATTCCTGGTCAGGGCACATGCCCGGGTTGTGGGTTCTATCAATGACTTTCTTATCACTGATGTTTCTATCTCTCTCTCTCTCCCCCTTTCCTTTCCTCTCTCTGAAATTCAATAAAGATATATCTAAAAAAAAAAAAAAAAAGTCTTCTTTAAGATGAAGGAAAAAAAAGATAAAAAATATGAACAATAAGACAGCAATAAATATGTATCTACCAACAACTGAATCTAAAAAACAAAATAAATGAACTAGAAGAACAGAAACAGACTCATAGATACAGAGACCATTTTGACGGTTGCCAGATGGGGGTGGGGAGTGGGTGAAAAAGGTGAAGGGATTAAGAAGTACAAATTAGAAGTTACAGAATAGTCATGGGGATATAAAGTATAGCATAGGAAATATAGTCAATAATATTCTAATAACTATGCATAGCGTTAGATGGGTATGAGATTTATCGGGAAAATGGCTTAGTAAGTTACATAATGTCTAATCACTGGGGTATAACACCTAAGACTAATATAATATTGCATGTCAACTGTAACTGAAAAATAAAATAAAGTAACTTACTGGTATGTATACTATGACTAATTTTTAAATAATACATAGAGGTAAGTTTTATATGTTAATATGCAAATATATACTTAATAGCTGAATACATATGCATGAAAAAGTATATATTAAGGTATTAAAATGATTGTTTCTTAGTATTTTCTGATTTTTAAATAATATAGTTTTTATAATAAAAATACACTTTGTTTTGGCCCTAGCCAGTTGCTCAATGTCTAGAACGTTGGCCCACGGACTGAAGGGTTTCAGTCCTATTCCAGCCAAGGAAACATATCCTGGTTGCAGACTCCATCCCCGGGCCCAGTCGGGGCCCATGCAGGAGGCAACCGATTGATGTGTCTTTCTCACATCAATGTTTCTCTCTCTCTCTCTCTCTCTCTCTCTCTCTCACTCTCTCCCCCTTTCACTCTCTAAAAAGCAATGGAATTATAAGCAATATATATATAATATATATATATTATATATATATATATATACACACACTACACACACTGTTTTGGGAACAAAAGCAGCTTCCATTAAAAGTTCTTATTTTTACGAAGCTCTACAAAATAGATGACCCTTTACAAACTATACCATTATACTTTTAATACTGCTATCAGGTTGCTGAATACCTTTATGTATTGAAGAGTACACTAATTTAGGAATAACTTTTCTCTGTAAATAACATAATAAAGAGGACTCAC